TTTACTTTTAATTTGTTTTGATTTACTTTCAATTTATTTTAATTTACTTTTAATTTACTTTGTTTTACTTTCAGTCTGTTTTAATTTACTTTCAGTCTATTTTGATTTACTTTTAATTTACTTTGATTTACTTTCAATTTGTTTTGATTTACTTTTAATTTAATTTGTTTTACTTTTAAATTTACTTTAGTTTATTATCTGCAAGTTTTACTGGTGTTTTTCGTTTTTACTATGTGTTTACACATAGGTATTATCTTACAAATACATTTTTTTCGTGGGGTAGTTGTTTTTGGGTGGGTGGGGTGTGGGGTGCACTGTGTATTTATACAGGTATGCTGTTTTGGGCGTGGTGGGTGGGGTGTTTGGGGTGGGTGTTGGCTGGTGTACACTGTGTACTTATACAGGTATGCTGTTTTTGGCGTGGTGGGTGGGTGTTTGGGGTGGGTGTTGGCTGGTGTACACTGTGTATTTATACAAATATTCTGTTTTTGTGTGGTGGTGGGTGGTCGTTTTTGGTTGGGTTAGGTTGGATGTGCACTGGGTGCACATACACGGATATCGCTACTATTCTTGGGTGCACTGAGTGCACATAGACGGGATCGCTACTATCGCGGCGGATAGTAGTGGACTTAGGGTGTGCACGCATTGTACTACTACTATCGCACTTTTAGTGCGGCGGAGGGTGTGATTAAATTAGTGCTTTTTGGGTCAGTCTTTTCATTCGTTTACTATTTAAAACTTTTGGATTTTTGTGTTTTATAATTCTTAGCATTATGGTTTAGTTTTTTTGATATTAATCTGTAATTTTATATGTATAATAATAATAATATACAAAAAAATAAACAATACTTAAAGTTATAACGGAAATATATAACTATATTTCATATAAATAAAATGATATATAAGTAAAAACATATAAAATATCAACAATAAAAAAAGGTTGTTAAGCATATGGTTGTAATTAACATATATACCTTTCAGAAAAAATTGATACAATCATTTGATATCATAATACATAAGCTACTTCCATATGGTAGAAATGCTATTAATATGATTATGAATACAACTAAAAAAGAAATATCAAAAAATATGTAATGGTTTACAAAAAACAATCAAAAAATACATAAACTTGAATATATAAAAGTAGATATAAAGTCATATATTAAAAATAACATTATAAAACATAAATACACACATAAAAAACAATATATTAAACAACACTCGAAATCGAATATTAAGAATAAACAATCATTTAAACAAAAACACTTAAATACAAAACAAAAAAAAATAGTAAATAATAATTATATATTATTGTTATAAATATGAAACATAAAATTACTATTAAAAACTCATAAAAATACAGCAAAGATGATATGAATATATATGTTAATAATAAATCTTTACAATAAAAACCACATAAAAATCAAAAAGAACATGAATTAAATAATGCGAATACTACTAATACCTTTGCTAACACACATCCACAAAAATGGAAAAAGAAGAAACACCTTATATCTTGTAATCCATAAAAAAGATGGATCCATACCCCTATTATAATAAATAATGCTGCTTTATAACACATATGATAACAGAAAAATAATGCTCCTACATATATGTCTATCATTAAACAACAAAACATAGAAAATGATATTTGGCATATTGTGCTAAATGCTATATAACGTTTTACATCAAAATTATATGTTACTGATATAGCCACCACTACTACTATTAAACTTGATCAATATAATAATGGGTAAAAACAACATATTCAGAAATCATAACATCAAAATAAGAAACTCATTAATACAATACCACATATAACTAATGTAGCTGCATGTATTAACGCTGATACTGGGATAGGACCCTCCATTGCATCTGGTAATCATATATGTAAACCAAATTGTGTTGACTTAGTAAAAGCACATATTAATAACATAAATAGTGTTCATATCATACAATAGTAATCTACATTAAAAAATGTGACTAACAGATATATGACACAACTATAACCATGATTATATACTACTAATAGTATTGCAATTAAAAAAGTTATGTCCCCTACTTTACTTATAAAAAAAGCTTTAAAACTAAACTTAAGTGCGAAAAAACGGTATCAAAAATATGATATTAAAAAATATGAAAATAAACCTAGTAGTTCTCAACCACAATATGCTGTTATAAAATCCGCTGATAAAACAAAAAAATTCATACATAACACAAATAATCAAAATACTACAAAAAACCTATATATGAATACATCGAAAAACATATAATATAATGCATAAAATACAATAAAACAAAATATGATATTTATCATAAATAATATAAATATATAAAAACCATTTAAAACAAATATTAATTGTATACTAAATATATCTAATGCATATAGAATACAGATATCAAAAAATACATAACCGTATATACTTATTGGGATGCAGAAAAAATATGTAAAATTAATTATCACAATACACATATGTAATAATAACTCTAACCAAAAACTTCATATGAGCCTTCCTAACATACATGTGCCTGATAGTAGTCCAAATATAAAAAATATGATTAAAAAAAATAAAAACATTTTATTTATTTTATTTATAACTATTGTGTTACACGACTTCTTCCCTGGCTCGACCCCCCCTTCCTTCTCTGACCTTTCCCCTAACCCCTTCTTTCTTTCGCAAGGTTCCTGAACTTGGTAAACGAGGACTCTGTTCTTTACAAAAACGCACCCACTTAACTCTCGCCTTTTGATATATATTTTAGGAAATAGGGTTTAGGAATTTGTTGGGTGGAGCACAGAGCGTTGTAAGACAGGGGAGAAGAATTCCAGAGGACCAGGAAGGAGGAGAGAAGCAAGTTAGGGGGGTGAGGGAGAGGGGTGGAAAGGGTTTTTGGAGGGATTTGGATTCAGGATGGGGTTTTATTAAGTGGTACGTAGAGAGTCTAAAATATAATATAAAATATATAAAAAAACGACACTGTCATACCTGCTGTTACAAAGAAAACTACTATATCATTTGTAGATATATCTAATCTTAAATATTTGTCTAATCATAAAAAAGTATAAAAGCTTAAACATATATATATATATATTGATGATATAAAAACTGATAATACTATTATATAAAAACATAATATATATATACATGATAAAGAAATTAAACCATAAAATACAAATATATCTATATAAAAAAGCAACATAAATGGGAAGTCAATATTATATAAAAAAACACATAAAAACAAAAAACTTCACATGCTTATTCCGAAAAATGATACTATTAATAAAAAAATACGTACTCCATAGTTATCATACATATACCCGACTACTAAAAACATAAAAGATGAGCTTATAATATGTGAGATATTACATAAAAAAACTAATCCTATAAATAGTAAATCATTATGTCATAATAATATTAATGCTATTCCTGTGTGTATAACAGATCAATTCGCAACTATTTTTTTATAATCTGGTATAAATAATAATAATATTGATAAAAAGGTTAATCCTAATATTATTATACTATCTATAAAACCTAAAAACCATACAGATACCTGTCATAAATTTAAAAATAAAAACTTATATACACCAAAAAAACCTATTTTTAATACAATACTCGCTAATAATATACTCATTTCTGTATTTACTTCTACATGCATTTCTGGAAGCCATACATGTAATGGTCATATTGGGTACTTTATTGCAAACATTATAAACAAACATATTCATAGAAATATCACTGTTGTTACACTATCTAACATACAAATATCAATAAATACATATAAACTTAATATATTAAAGTGAGTTATTATAATTATACATATTAATACACATAATATAGAACTTATTGAACTAAATATTACTAAATAAAATATTGCAAATATAAATCTATTATTAAAATTAAAAAATAAACTTACAAAACATATTGGGAAAAATAATGTTTCAAATAAAATCATAAATATTACGAAATCATCGGTTATGATTATTAATATAACACATATATATATAAATACATATGTACTTAATATTAAAAAATATTTTTCATAAGATGCTACTCTACGTGTTAAAATAAAAATTATATCTATTAATATTAGACCCATAAAAAATATAAATCATAAGTGCACATAATTTATTAAAAATATAATATATATATAGTGGATATCTATAATAATACAACAACTAAAATTAATAGCTACCAATGATATAGATATGAATATTATATAAAAATTTAGTAACAATATTATGAATTTAAACATGTATATCTGGTTATTTTAACTTAATTTTACTTTTATATTTTGACTTTACCGGTAGTAATAAGTATACTTTTAATATATTTTGTTTGCTTATAAATAGGTGTTGGACTTGGAAGAGGGGAAAGAGTTGGAAAGGTTGGAGGAGAAAAGTTGGAGGGAAAGGGATGAGGAGGATCGGAAGAGGTGTGATGTTTATGGTTATGGTTGATTGGGAGGGAGAGGAAAGGAGGGGTGGGGATGAGGGGGTAAGGAAAAAGGGGGGCGGTGTTTATTTGTTAGAATTATTTATACATATAAAACTATTAACTGTGTTATACAAAAATCGTTCATACTATTATAGAAGCTACTATAGCTATATATATCAAAACATATAATATTAGAAAACATATCAAAAAATATATTTAAAAATAAAAAATCTTTTAAAAAAAAACCGAAAAAACTTATTATAAACAATATTAATATAAAAATAAATACAAAATATACATCAAAATATATAAATTTAAAAAAATATAAATTCGCTTGCGTTAAAAAAAACAACTTCGTGTATATGATATATATATTCAATATAATATATACATAATATTTAAATAACGTCCTGTGGACATAAAAAAATTACTAAAGAATATGCTTATTACATAATATAATATTATAAATATTATACCACATATAAATATAAAACAAAAAAAACCTTGTGTGATATTATATAAATATCCAAAAAATACTAATAATAAACACATAAAATCTAAATATATTATATCACACATCACATATGATACTGCAATATCAAAATTTTGGTATAAAAAATCGTATATAATTACAAACAAACATCGTATTACAAAAAATATAAAACAAAATATAAAACATATAATAAAGTAAAATAAACAAAATAAATATGTACAGAATACTACTTGTTGGTATGCATATCTTCCAAACATTACGTCATTACTTGTAGATATAGATATTAAATCATTAATTATATATAATGTAGTAAAACAAAAAAATTCTATAAAATATAACATATAGCTAATACCAAACACAAAAAAAAACAAATAAATGCATACATAAAATTAGTTAATATTATTATTGTTATTACACTCTTTTTCGGTATGCATATGGTATGGCTTACTATAAAAAATACTATAAAAAATATAAAACTAAAGTATACCCTTATGAAAAATCCGACTACAAACATAAATACATATGTTATACATACAACAAAATCAAAAACAAAATCATACAATATAAAATCTAAATCAAACCATCACAATATAAAATCATAACTTCTAACACATAATAAATCAAATACACGGCTCAGTCCTTCTTTCCCCTTTACTTTACATTACTTTTTATAATAATATTAATTAAACTATGTTTTTTTTTTAGATTTGTTTGTTGTACTTGTTATTTTTATACTTGTTATCTTGGTTCTTTGTGGTTATACTACACTCTGTGAAAGACGTATTTTAGCTCTTGTACAATTACGAATTGGTCCTTCTTTAACTTTGTTCGGCATTATAACACCTATAACAGATGGCATCAAACTTTTTTTAAAATTTACATTATTTGTTGTTGGGTTTGATGGTATTTATCTAATTTGTGCTTTACTTGTATCTACTTATTGCATGTTTTTAAGTTGATTAATTTTTCCTATTGGCTATATTATAGCATTTGATAATGGTTTTACTATATTTTTTCTATTTTTGCTACACATGCTTATTAATGTATGTAGCTGTTTTTGGGTTGGGTTTTTTTATTTTCAAGTTGCTTTGTATATTTATCTACTTTTCGTACTCTTATTTTTTCTGTTATATCAGAGAGCTCTTTTATGTTACTTTTTTTGATTTCTTTTTTACTTGATAGTTTTTGTTTACTTAGCATTAAAGATATTAGTGTTGGACAACTTTATAGTTGTAACCTATTTTTAGGTGGGATTTGTTTTTTTTGCTTATTTTGGGTTTGCTTACTTATTGATGGATTACGTATTCCATTTGATTATATGGAATGTGAAAGTGAATTAGTTGCTGGGCTCATTACAGAATTATCAGGTGTATTTTTTGTTATCTACTCTATATTAGAAACTAGTCATTTACTACTTTGCACACTACTCTTATCTTGCTTTTGCTTTGGTGGTTTGTTTATATGCTTTAAGTCTTTAGTGCTTCTTATTATTTGCTTTTTTATACCACGGGTTATTGGATTTAGACTTAAAATCACTACTGCACAAACGTTTATTATTTTATTTTTATTTATTATTTCTTGCTTACTATTTGGTTGATTAATTATTACTAAAATATTATGTCTTTACTTTTAATATTTAATAACGCTTCTTTTAAAGTCCTTCTGTCTCCTCCCCCCCCTCCCTTTTCCCATCTTTCTGTCTTTTAACTCTGGTCCTATTTTAACTGTGTTTTTATATATTATGCACTTACTAATTTTTTTGTTTGGGTATTGTTTTCTTATCTTATGTGATTCTAATCTTTTACACTTTATTTCTTTTGACTTAATTTGATTACTTATTATTAATATATTAGCTTTATTTGTTGTTAACTCATATATTTGTTTTTGTTTTTTTTTTGTTTTGCTTTTTATACTTTTTGACACATGGATTTACCACTTTTGAACTTCGTATTATGCTTTTAGTTGTTTTAATACAATATGTTTGTGTTTTTATGTTTTTATACGTGATACATGTACTATATATATCTATTTTATTTGAAATGTTTAGTTTGCTTGTTTTTTTACTTCTTATCACATCTAGATTTGGATTTAAAATACTTGTTTTATGGTATTACTATATGATAAATTTGATCAGTTTTTTTCTTTTGATTATGCTTTTATACTTTATGATTTTAAATTACTGTTATTACTTATGTGACTTCTGTTTTCTTATTTTCGATGAAGAATGGTTAGGTACCATATGTTTGATGTATATTTTACTTATTATATTTAAACTCTATACTAGTATTCTTATTACATATATGGAACAATTATATATTAGGTTAGGTGTTTTTATTTTTATTTATATGCTTACTTTTTATATATTATTTTGCTTTATTTTGATTATTATTTTAATTAACTTTATATATTTTTTATATTATTTTAATTAAACTTTCTATTATTCAATGTTGTTTTTGTGTTTTAATTGGATTGAATAGTTTTGCTATAGTTACTTTACTATTTGTACTAAGTGTTAATAACTTTTGTTTTCTATTTTTGGTGTTTGTTACAACAAAAAATTACTTATTTTACACATTTTTAAACTTTCATACTATTTATAGTTGTAGTTTGATAGTACTTCTATTGATTTATTATTTCTTTATTGTTTATAATATGTTTGACATTAAATATAATGAAAATTATTTTTTATTGAATTATGTATTTTTTAGTTTTTTTTAATAGTTTTGCATTAAGCATATTTATAGGGTGTCTTATATTATGTATTGGTTCTATACCTATTGCATTTGGTTTTTTTTTAAAAACATTTGCATTATTACTCCATTTAAGTACACTAGGTATTTCAATACTCTTTTTTTCTATTATTTGATTGATTATCATCTATATGTTTTATTTTAGACTTATTATACAAATATTTATATTTTCTTATCAATTTACTGGTTTTTGGGTAGTGAGACTTCATACATTATGCCTTACGCACGTTATATTATATATATCTGTTTTATTATGGGTTGTTTTTTTTGATATTATTAACTTTTTTGATTTAATTATTTAATATAAAAATATTAATACTAATAAAAAATCAGTTACTAACTGCATGATCATATTACAAAATATGAATATTTGTAATATTGAACAAAATATATCTAAACTATATAAAAATATATAAAAAATAAAAGCAAATATTAATATAAAATATATACTTATTATAGATATTAACTTAAATATTGATATAAAAACTATAAAAATAAATATAAAATATATAAATTCACAAAACATTAATACTAAAATATGTGCTGATAATAAATTACAAAACATTCTTAAAAATGTAGATATACATCTACATAATAAAGAAAAAAGCTTCTAATATACATAATAGCGTTCTTAAGAAAAAAACATCCATATATATATCTCCTACTAATAAGCCTGCATATAACAATATATTTAAAATTAAACAATAAATAAAAACATATACCATATAATACATTAATGCTATAATAAATAATATATATATATTTAAATACGTTATACAATAATATGTTATCATACTAAACACATTAAATACTATAAATCAAATACAAAGAAACAAGTTTACACCTATAAAACTATATATATCAAAAAGTTGATATACACATATATCGTGTACTACTACATAAAGACAGTTATAATATATGATATAACAACACTTTGATCAAATATTACAATATATAAAACTTATTAAACAACGGAACTTATCCACCCTTTTTTACTCATTTTAATTTTATATATATTTTAACGATCTACTGATCCGAATACAACATCTATATTTCCTATTGCAGCTACTATATCATGTAACATAAAACCGCGTAACATAAAGTCTAATAAACATATATGTAAGAAATCTGCACATCTTACACGTAATCGTGTAATAAAACTAAAGAATACACATATTAATAAACAATATTCTCCTTTGGGATGTTCTACACATGAGAATGATACACCTGGTAAAAAAACACATCATAAACTATAAAATAATACAATAATAGTTTCTATTGTTATATCTACATACATATAATCAAATAAGCAAACAAAACCAAATATAAAAAAACCTAAAAAAAACATTGTTTTACTATAAATAAACTCATACGCATATCGAAAAGACGTAAATAAAATCTATCAAATGCATCACCTAAAAAACTAAAACAGTAATCAAATACAAATATGCTATATAAATCATAACAACAATAAAGCCTTAAATCTAAAACAAGACCTACAGAGCGTGCTAATACACCACTAATACTACAATAAACTAAATCTAAACAATCAAAAAAACATAATCCTCGTAACCGAATATAAAATAATCTATTTCCCATAAACAACACATCATATAAATCTATGCAACTTAAAAATGATATACATAATAATAATATAAAATCTATAAATCCGAATACAAAATCGTCTAATACTCCTAATAAACACATAAACGCTAAATGCATGCGACAACCACAAACTAAATCAAAAAATGTCATTAGCTTATCTCTTTCTTCAAAAGATCATAATAAAGGTGATAAGCACCCTATATCCATTACCATACATGCAAGACATAATAACCCATTAAAACTACGGGTGAATTCTAACATTAATATTCTCATAAATGCACATCTAATTGATAATACTACTCGTAACATATATTCAAAACATAATGATAATAAGTGTTCATTACATACTACACACACATAATCTAATCTATCAAAATAAGGTAGACATTGTTCTAATGTTTTAAACTCGCATAACTTTTCAGTACCTCTATGTAAATATCCAATGATCACATCTATATATGTTATATATTCACCTGATAAATATAATAAGCAACACAATACACCATGAGCTGCTGGATGTTGTGGTCCGAATGTAAAACGATATAAATGTAATAAAATAAAATAAAATAAAAACAAAATAATTAAACCTTTTTTTACATTTTATCTGCAGTCGTGTTACATTATAATGAAAATAACCATAATTTAAAAAAGATTTTTCTTGCGTTTGTTTTTATACAATATTTACTTTTATTTTAGGTGTTTTATTACTTCACAACTAGTGGTAAATACGTACTTTAATACTTATTTTACTGATACTTACAGTTTTTTATTCTTAAATATATATGGTATTTGTGTTTGAATTAATACTAATATTATAAATATTTTGGTTGTTAAATATAACTATTTTTTCTTGATAAATAATTTAGAATATTTTGTCATTTTATATTAATTTTTATTTTATTTTTTATAAAGAGGGCGTGGGGAAGGGGAGAGAGGGTTTTGGAGAGGAGGGGTTGGTAGGATAGAGGGAGGGAGGGAGAGTTTTTTTGGGGCGTTTTGGGGAAAAGAGGCGTGGTGAGAGGGGTTGGATGGGGAGGCAGGTTTGTTAATGGAAGGAAGTTGGAGGAAGAGGCACCTGTTGGAGAAGGTTAGAAGAGTCCATTTTATGGGGAGGGAGGGGATTTATGAAGGAGGGAGCCAAGAAGGACCACTTTTTTAATGCTGCATTGGTTTAAATATTAACTTTTTATTTTTTTTACTATTTTAAACACTAAACTTCTACCCTTCCCTTCCCTCCCCCTTTTGAGGGGCCTTCTGTAAGCTCCTTCCTGTGGGTTTGCTCGGTGGGCCTGCTCCCCTTCCGACAAGTCTTTTATGCCGGAAAATGCCTTCTTGCCCCGCTCTTAAGCCCTTGGCTTTCCCTCGACGCTCCGTTCGCCCTCTCGTTGGGTAAACCCGCTCTCTTGTTTTCCTGGCTCAGGTTCCCCCATTCCCTCCATTTTTATATTTAATAACATTTATGAATAATATCACCTTAAATTGTATCTAAATTATTTTTATAAATAATTTAATTACTGCACGTTATTTTCATTGTAAAAATTGGTGGGCAACAATACCTATATATATTATTTTTTTAACTAATATTCCACACTTCATATAATATATTATTTTTGATTAAAATATTTTCACATTCATTCCTTGTCCTTATCATGATATCAAAATAATAGAATTCCGCTTATATATATATTTGAATAAATAAATACTAATAAAATAAATAATTACTATAATTCACTATTTGCGTATACCTACAGGTATATAAAAACAAAAAATATTAGTTGTATACTTTTGTTTGTTATATATACTAGCAACAATAACATAAATATTATTGTATAATATTTAAAAGCATAGAAATTACCGCAACGGCTGGCATCCATTTCTGACCTATGAGTACATTCTATTTATTATTTGAATTTGTAATTAATTTTACATAACTTTCCACACCCATATAATAGCATTAACAAAATAATCTAATCAAAATTATAAATTACTATTAACTATTCCTAAACTATACAATTAAATTTTTACATAAATAAACTAAAATTAAAAATAAAAACTTTTAAATAAATTAATATTAATAATAACAAATGACTATACTTTTTTGTATTTATAATAAGTTATCTAATAAATGATCCTTGCGTACTAATGTAATTTATTTTATATATATACATTAAATATATAAACAAATCTGCTTTACAACGATTTTAACCCAACTAACGAATTATACTTTTGATGAACAATCAATTATAATAATAAGTAGACGATGAAACACATTTTTTTTGATGCTTGTTAACCTGCTCGAACCTTTTATTATTTCAATAATTATAGTTCTTTTTCTATATATTTAAATATAGTATTGCCCCAATCAAACATACAAATACATATTATATGGTCTCTTTGTAAAGGAGAGTAGGACTTGCCCTATTTTAATGATTTGACTTTTTTTAAAATCTTTATTTTAATTTATATATTACACGTATTGCTTTAATTTTAAAATTTTCTATGGAACACTTTAATAATTAATTAACAAATTACTATGCTACTATATATAACATTATAGGGTAATTAACATATTAAATAGAATTAAAAAAATATAAAAATATTTACTAGAATGATCTTAAATAAAGTTCTTAGACTAACGCCTTTAATAAACGTTTTTGAAATTTTAATATTTTATTAACAATATTATTGTATTTTTATAAATTTTATGTTATAATAATACTTTTTAATAAAATTACATTTACTTTTTATTAACAAATATTAAATATTAGAATAATATTTGTTTTATTATAAATTTTATACCATAAATATTTT